TGTGTTTTTATGTTTTTAACTGTTTTCCTTTCCTCACTTCCAGTAATGACGTTGAGCTCCATTAAGTCTTTCATGCTGGATCTGGATGGTCCGGCTGATGCTGCGTTCACTGGAGGGGAGGTGGTGTCTGGCCAGGTGATCCTGGAGCTCCACAGAGACACTAAAGTGCACTCCCTGAAGGTACAGGGTAGAGGAGTGGCCACGGCACACTGGCTGGAGAACCGTGGCATGAACTCTGTCTATAACGACTACACCTCCAAGATCACCTACTTCAGGAAGAGACAGCATCTGATCCGAGGTCAGTGGCGAAAGCTGCAGCTGGTTTTAGTCCCCTGAAAGGTTAATATGCAGTTCACACTGTGTTTATTCATGGGAAATAAGTAAAACCCGTGTGAGTTATAGCTGCATTTTATGAGGTTGCAGAGTTCTTTTTTAAAGTATTATTTGATTTGGTTTCATAATTTTGTTTTTGAAACACACAGTGGTGTAAGTTCTAAATAATACAAAACATGTCTGTGTTTTGCACATAAAATGTAGTTAATTTTTAATGTAGACCTAGTTATATTTTAGCCAAATAAATGCATTTTAATATTCAGCAAAGAGAGTCAAATAAGGCAAGTCAACAGGTTCAGCTGGGATGCACTGACTGGAGGTGCAGGAGTCCAAAGGTGACTAGAAATAAGTATGGCTTTTTGTAGTGCCTTCACTTCTTTATAAGGAGAGAGATTTGTATCATTTGTGATGACTTTGTTGTAGTTCTTGTACTCTCTTTCGTCCCTTACTGTATCTGTATATATATATATATATATATATATATATATAGTAAGCTATAGTTTCTAGCTTTGCTGTGATATACATAGTGACTGTATTTCAGCATGTATTGCAGTTGGTGGATGAAAGGTTCTCTCTCTCTTTATCTCTATCACTCTCTCTCTCTCTCTGAATAATGTGGTGTAAAACTGCTGTCATGTGCCAGCTGGTAGCTTCTGTGTCTTGTAGTTGCTGCAGTTTGCAAAATGAAGCCACCTGGACCGAATGTGTTACATGGAAAGCTGGGAGAGAAGCTGACACTGGCTCATCCAGATACATCTGCCAGATAACATAATCCTAAGATTAAATACAAATCCATTAGTGCTGGCTCCAAATAAACACATCTTTGCTTTATTGTATAGGACGTAACACTGTAAGGTGTGACATTCCCCTTGTGTGGAAGTCACCAGGCAACTTAAAAACAGAGGCAGAGAATATAGGCCATAGTAGCCGAGTAAATAAATTGTAGGTAGCGGTTAATGTTTGATTAGATGATCTGTAAACAGCAGCCTACATTTGGTTTGACTCCTCAGTCTGGTCAGGCAGGTAAATATGAACAGACACCAGATGCAGAGTCTCTTATAAAGCTGTTGTTGTTATTATGATATTATTGCTGTTGTTGCGAGTATTGAAAATTTGTAAAAAAGCAAATGTTTGGTCTCTTTACTTGATGAATTACTAGTGTAGTACAACGGTTTATTAACAGTTCATTAATATCATAATCATTTTATGATTATGGATACATTGCTTCAGCACAATTGTCACTTCCTCCTGTTCTGCCAAATTATCTGATATTGGTGTGCTCACCGATGAGAAAAGTGCTTCACACAGGAAGTGGCTCAAAATCAAAACTGAAACAAAAACAGTTAACTGGGAAACTGTATAGTTAAAGGTATAGATGCATTCAAATGCTTCTCATTCAACAGCAGGCCAAATTTTTTTTGCATCTCTTGTCCTTTGAAATAAAGCACAGTGGAGGACAATATTAGATATATGTTGTAAGATGATACCAATTTGTCCACTGCCCGAAATTTTGTTCTACAATTTGTACCATGATATCTATCCCTTTAACCTCTCTGGGTGTTGTAAGGCCATAGTGGAAAGAGGTGCTCATCAATGAGTCACATTACTTTTATGGCAAATATATCATTTATATTATCATCAGTGTGATGAAGTGTATTTTATTTGCTTAATTAGCCAAACAAACCTTCTTGGCTGGTAATTTCATCCAGTGATGAGCTCTTAATTGATTTCTCAGAAAATGAATTATATCATAATATATATCAATATCTCTGTATGAAATCACATATAACATACAACATATCTCCCACGCCTAATAAAACATCTCAAGATGATGTGATCACCAAAAATCACAAAGTAGTGATTTTGGACTTGATGTCACCATACAGGGTTTATCAATAATGCTCAGCAATTTTGAGCCACCATAACACTGGCTGTCTTAAGGTAGCTATAGACACAGATGGCTGCCAAATACTAATACAAATAGATCTTACAAAGAGATCTTCTAAGATGGTTGATATAAATATATAGCGGTCAAATAAAAAGCTGCAGTCAGTACATGGGTGCTTTCTTAGTGTGACACTGTAGAATGTGTCCAGGAAAAAACAGCTTGAATTGTTTTTGCAAAGCTTCATCCTTTTCGTGTACGTCCCAAAATCCTTTCAAGGACAAAATTTGTTTTATTCACCCACAAATTTTGCACATACAAGTGACTGGGCAAAGTAGTAAAAGTAAATGTTTAGAAGTAAAACTAAATATGTTGTTATTGGTTCTGTTTAGTTGGGACTGCAGTAGCAAGAAAAGAGGAGAAGGTGAAAGACAGAAGGGAAAGGAAGGAAAGAGGAAGGGGTGGGGGATGTTTAAAAAATGCAGCCTGTGTTACTGTGGCAACCAAGAAAACAACACGTGGCTCCCCTTAGCCTCGCCTCCCTCCATCCTGCAGCCAGCTGCTGTTCTCCATTCATTTTACATTGTCATGTCATTTTCAGCTCATGCATGTTTTAGTTTTTTTTTTCTTTGTTGTGAATGATTGTTTTTCCCTTTTAAAGACAGAAATTTATCTTAGAGTGAACTTGTCGGACTCGTTTCTCTTGCAAACATCACAGAGGAATTACACTTTCTCAAGCCCCTCTCTGCTCTGAGGTATGAAGGGCTTCATTGTTAATGTTTGTTTTGTAATGTTGTGTACACAGCAGCTCTTCTGGTAAACATAGGGGAATGTGTTTACTTTAGTCTGCAGCAGTTACAAACATGTTTTCAGCAATGATTAGGTTGAGTCTGGAGTGTTTATCAGACCCATCATTCTGTGCAGGGAACCTCATGTTCATCTTATCAGAGACCAGGGGGCCTGGCAGAACCAGGGACTGCTCCTTGTCACCAGCAGGTGGCGCGCTGGGCTTCATTTTTACCCAGTGCTGGGGCTTCTTGAATGTTTTAGTATAAACTGACAAAGTAATAGAAACGGAACCACTGACATAATATTCTGCTGTTGGTTAAGACACATTGTATTTAAAAAACAAAAAACAAAAAAACAATAAATTAATGTCCTATGATGCAGGTAACATGCAGTTAAAACCTCCATCTGCTTTCTACTGTTATACCAACCTGCGAGAAGTAAAATGACAGCCAGGGGAGACACTAGTTTGTCATAACCTGTGAGCATCCTCTACTCAGAGTTTCACATTTCCCAGATTCATACATCTGCTGGCTATAAAAGCATCCTGGTAGTCCTGCAGTTGTGCACACTGCCTCCATATCACCAATTGGTGGCAGTAGACAGCTAACTCCTCATCTCTGGGAACAAAGGAGTAAACAACTTTGTTTTTCTCAAACCAGACTTGATTTCTGTTTGACGGATTTTGGATTGAATGAAGAGAGTAACCCAACTCAGAAGTGTTTTTTTGAGTTTACTGAGGAGTTTGGAAGAAAACCAATTCTGCTCAGAGCTGGCTTTGTTTGGAAATGTTGGAAGTGCTATGCTTGGTTATGCAAGTTACCAAGTTGTTGCACAAGTTTTCTTTAAGTGGTAACTTATAGTTATCCCGTGTTATCTCTATAGTATCCCTTTATCAAAGACGGTACAGTGACTGTAGTTGTAAGGGGATTTGGTGGCATATGTTGCATGCTCATGTGTGGGGCTGTGTGTTTTCCATGTGTGCGGCGGCCCACGCAGTGTAACAGTATGTTCAAACCGACATAAAAAGTGGAGTAAACAGCTTTGGTCCCGAGTGAAACTATTTTCCTCTGAGCTGTGCAGGGAGGAGGAACTCTGCCAGACTGAGGCATGCTCAGTAGGCCTGTTTTCTTCTAAGAACCTGTAACCATCAATCATCAGGCCCTGTTTTCCTCTCTGCTCCCTCCACACCCAGTCCTGCATGTTTATTATGCTGCCTTCAAGCTCGGTCTGGGAATATGGGTTGTTAGGAGAAGTGCTGCACTCAAGTAGCTCAACTAAGTGGTAAATAAGAATTAAGTTAGTGTGAATTTTACACAACATCCATGTTGTCATAACCAGTCATCAGGTGAATGGCTCTCATGGAAGTTGTGGCAGTTTTGAGTTTTACTTTTACTTTCATAGTGCTTGTCATTTATTGGAAATCATGAGGTGGATGGGTTTTGTCCAGACTTGTACCTGTATCCAAACCTGTAAATGTGCAACATGGTGATGGTTTAAGGTTGATTAGTGAATGAAGGAAAGCATCATTTTTGGCCTGATGAGAATTTTTTCCTCTTCGTAATGATGCTTAAAACAAAACATCAAACAATTAAAAAACAACTAAGCAAAACAGCAGTGGCTTGAAACTGTGAGATGTAAGTCTTATGGTTTTAAGCAGCAACTGATTTCACACATTTGTTATTGGAAACAGCTGCTGCAGTGTTTGTTGTAAACCTTCACACTCCAAGTCCTGTTGAAACTTGCTGTTTGAAACTTTCCTGAAAAGTAAGTTTGGCGTTCCTGCTGGCTGAATAAACCAGTCAAATGCAGCCATATGTCTGACTTTACGACTGTAGAACTGAAAAGTCCGTGCCAAAGAAGAGCACCTGAAGGCAGCGTCGCCCAGCCTTCAAACCTCTCCTGAGGTCTTACATAATAAATTCAGATAATCCCGCCCACTTTTTCAGGCTCCAAATAGGGCTGCATCAGAAAGGGCCCAGCAGTTTGAGCTTTAAACAAGTGCAAGTAAAACATCAGCAGCCCGAAGACTCACTTCAGCACACTCACACATACTGCGGGAACCGCTCACTTTTGCGTTTTGAGAGGACTCGCATATCCTGCAAAGAAAATGATTTTCGACAAGTTGAAAAAGTTTGACATCGTCTTCGACTCCGCGGAGGTGGACTGTCCTCCGGTGTACAGCAGCGGGGACGTGGTGTCCGGCCGGGTGGTGCTGGAGCTGTCCGGGGAGAGCAGGGTGGACTCGCTGAAGCTCCACGCCGAAGGTTTCGCTAAAGTGCACTGGACCGAGTCCCGGTCCGCCGGCTCCAGCACCGCGTACACCCAGAACTACAGCGACGAGGTGGAGTACCTGAACCGGAGAGAGGTGCTGCTGCAGGCAGGTCAGTCCACTGTGCAGGCTCGGTGGTGGGAGAGGGTTCATCATGTCTGTAAACCTGTGAAATAACCGGCATGCATCGAAACTGAAAAAGCATCGTCCTCTCGTTCACCAAATGCCAGCTACTGAACTGATAATGAAAGTGGCCTATTTATCTGGGGACACTGAGCTAGTTGTTTTTCTGTAAGTTTTGTTTTCATGATTTAGTATGAGAGTTAAATGGATGATGCAAACAGTCCTACCTTCTCTGGTCGTGTAAATGTCTTAAGAAGTCAAACTATCACTTGTTTTTGGACCTGGACCCTCTGTTCAGTTGTTTTCCTCACAGGCTTTGTTGACTATGACTTGATTTACAAACTTGTTCCACTGTAGATGAAAAGTTGACTTGACCTTCTAATACTGAGTGAATGAAACAAAGGTCAAGTTTAGGAGATGCTTACTTTCTTGTTGAAAAGTTCCTCGAAGAAGTAAAAGTGGACATCCAGATTCAGAAAATGCACAAAACAAGCATCCAGTCATTCATTGACAAAAGCATTTTTTGTTGTTGTTGTTGTTGTTGTTGTTGATACTTTCTTCTGTCATATGAGAAGTTTTTGTTGTTGGTCACAACTTGATATGTAAGTTTAAAAACCTTACTGTATAAGAAGGGAGCCAAACGTGCTGCAGCAGCTGTCTATACATTGCTTTGTTGCTGTGAAAACATCTGTTGAAAGAAATACTTCTGACATCAGACTGCCTCATTCAAAGAAAATCCTGGGTGTTTTTTTTCCTCCTGTGAAATGAGCAGAGGAACCTCAGGTTTTTACCTTCATTCAGGGTTGTTTTGGTTTAAAGTGTAGACAGGAAATTCACAGCCAGAGCTTTCTCGGTTTTATGTTCCTGCTTCAGTTTGTCTGCCTCGTGGGTCTCCTTTGAAATCCTGCATGCTAACAGCAATTTTTAAAACACATAACATGTATATCAGTTTAGTCTGTGGTATGTGAACAAGTTGGGTTTTTTTTGTGTTTTTCTTTGTAGATGTGCTTGAAAAAAAAAAATATGTTCACAACAACCCCACTTAACCCATTAAGAGGATTTGACAGTGACGGTATTGTAATTTAAATCAAATAGGAGCTTGCAGCTAACAAAGGGACACAAAACACACTGAGTCTGTTAAACGCAAACACGTGTTCCCGGACCTGTGCAGCAAGAGAGTGAAAAAACAGAGCAGTTGAGACGGGCTGTATAATACAGCTTGAGGAAAACATGTTCTCAGTCAGCACAATGGAGAAAGAACCGCCCCTCTGAGCAAGCACGGAAGCCATGTGATTGCAAAGAAAGACAGAGCGATTTCTATTTCAGCAAAAGTCTTGCTTAAAAGATCTGTTCATACTCTCTCACCAAGTCAGCTTAATTTATAAGGATTTCCAAAGAATACTAGTGTTTTTTTAAATGTTTATATTTCATTCAGAAGAAGCCATTTGCTACCATTCTTGTGCTGTGCTGTGCTACATGAATCACCTTAAACAAAACTAGAGAGTCGATCACAGTAGAGATTTAGAAACTGTATTTCATTGTGTTGAATTGCTTTATTACTTTCTGCTGTGCTTCCTGATGATAACCTGACCCCCACAGGAAGAGACTAACCGAGGGAGTGACGCGACCCTCACGAACAAAACAAAAACAAAACAAAAAGTGAATGAGCTGTATCTTAAACATGGTTTTTCTGTTTCTCTCTCTTCCTCTCAGATAATGGTGAAGTTACTGTCCTTCCTGCTGGCAGACATGAATTTCCATTCAGCTTCCAGCTGCCAGAGGAGACACTGGTCACCTCGTTTGAGGGGAAACATGGCAGCATCCGTTACTGGGTCAAAGTTAAGCTACACAGGCCGTGGGCCACCGTCAAGAAGCTCAAGAAGGAGTTCACAGTCATCGAGCCCATTGACATCAACACACCAGCCTTACTGGTGAGCACCTCAGCCCTCACTTTTCATGAATGTTTCATCACACGCTTTCATGGTGTTCTGGCTGTTCTGAGGCGCTCACTGATTGGGTTTTCGTCATTCCCAGGCGCCGCAGGCTGGAACGAAGGACAAGATGGCACGGGCCTGGTATCGCAACTTTGGACAGGTGTCTGTAACGGCAAAGATCGACCGCAAAGGCTACACACCAGGTCAGAGTCTAGCATCTGAAACAACACCTTCTATAAACACATTCTTCGTTGGTCAGATTAGAAGTTTTGGCAATTTCTGACATGCTTTCCGTCTCTGCAGGTGAGGTGATACCCGTCTTTGCGGAGTTTGACAACTCTACCTCCAGATCAATCGTGCCCAAAGCCTTCATCACTCAGACACAGACGTTCATCGCCCGCGGCACCATGAAACAGAAGCGCTCGGTGGTGGCCACACTGTGCGGTGACATTGTGGGCGCCAGGTGCCGGGAGACTTGGCACGGCCGCGCCATCAAAATCCCACCTGTGGGCCCCTCCGTCCTGCAGTGCCGTATCATCAAAGTGGAGTACATGCTCAAGGTGAGCTTAGTCAACAGCGCCTTTTACATTTCTTATGAATTTGAAGATTCACTGTTTGCGTGTTTGTTGCTGGATCCAACAGTTCTCCACTCCCCCCCTAACAGGTTTGTGTCGACGTTCCTGGGACATCGAAGCTGTGTCTGGAGCTGCCGCTGGTCATAGGCACCATCCCTCTCCATCCCTTCGGCAGCCGGACCTCGAGCGTGAGCAGCCAGTACAGCGTCAACCTGGAGTGGCTGCGTATGGCCATCCCTGAGCAGCCTGAGCGTAAGTGTCCTTTAATACTGCAGTGGCAGAGATGCATGTGTAGGTCTAGATGTGCATAGGGAGTCAATTATTATAACAGTGACATTTTGATTTTATTTTTTCCCAGACTTAGCTGAACATTTATCAACATTTAGTGCTCAGACTCTGCAGATAAAAACAACACTCTTTAGAAATTGCTCCCTTTTTTGCTTTCGAAGAGCTTCTCCAACCTCTATCAGTTTGTGGGCCTGTACCCTCTTTTACTTTTATGATCACTTTACTGCCAAAATACCACAGAGTCAGATGCCAGCATGCATAAACAAACAAAGGTTTCGATTCTGCTGAGAATCATGTTGGTTCAAATCAGTGTTTGTTAATGCAAAAGGCAGTAAATGTAATGTGGGTTTTTAAGAGTTTTAACTGCAGTGATGACTCAGCAGCTTAGTGTTTGGACCTGTGCTTTTCTGTTGAGTCAGACCAGTGCACTAATCCTGCCTCTTTCCCTCCCTGCAGCTCCTCCAGATTACAGCTCTGTGGTGACAGAGGAGGAGGCCGGGCAGTGCAACAACGCGGTGGTCCCACAGCCAGCCGAGGACCTGAGTGGGATCCTGGAGCGCCCCCTCATGGCTTTTGTTCAAGAGTTTCGCTTCCGACCTCCGCCGGTGTACAGCGAGGTGAGTCACCAAATGCTGGAAACAACACGCACCCTCACCCACGGTATTGCAGTGTTTGATTGGCACATATAAAAGCTTGTAGAGATTTTTTTCTTTGTGTGTAGATACATTTTAAAACATCCCTAAAGCGCTTCTTAGCTGCCAAAGATACTGTTGAGATCACAGCTGAATTGTATCTACATGAAAATATAGCCGTGGGTGTGGGCTGAATGTAGGCAGAATGCATCATAGCGCTGACTGTTTTTGCTCGGAGAAAGACTGAAATTTGTGTTTACTGAACCTTCATCTTATGTGTCTTTATTTCTATTTCCTGCCTACAGATTGACCCCAACCCCCAGCCCTTTAACATGAGACCTCGCTGCATGACGTGTTGAACCATGAGCCCCGCCTGAGAGTCAAGCGACTAAAATTATCGAAAAGAATCAAGAGATTTGTCTTCTCCTGGATTACTTCTCTCTGGTAAATGGCCCCTGGTCACTCCAAGTGTTGTGGAGAGGGACTGGAGCGCCACGGAGAGGTCAGGAGAGGAGATGGAGCTCGCAGGAACTGGGTGTCACTGGAGGAGCTGCCACTTTTGTTTCCAGTCCATAAAGTAAAGTGGACGCTCTCCTGTTCTGTTGCGAGGGAAGCAACTTCTCTACATCAGTTCCTGTCCTCCCCAAGTGATTTTTGGCTCATGACGAAGTGAGCTGCAAATACCTCCCAATCAACGATTCCCTCACGTGAAGAGATTTTTTTGAGATTTAAGGGACATATTGGAGGCGGGGGGGTAGATCACTTGATATTTGTCAGGTGGAGAGTTGAAAAAATCGCCCTTGATAAGTTGACACATGTTTAGCAGTACATTGTAACTTTGAGTGGCGTAAAGAAACAAGTGCAATTATTGTCTTCAATTTCCACTCTCCTTTGCCTGGCAACACAGTAGTTTTTAACAACCTACATTGCTATGCATCGTGTGACTCAACAGCAGTGTGCCTGTGATGATTTCTACTGTTACTTAAGCACATACTGTATCTGAAGGTGTGACGGTGGAAGAGACAAGTTAAATAAGCAGATGTAGATGTATTTTATGCATGCAGGTAACAATATGTAAAAGGGAAAAAAACATATGCCTTATTTATCTGCAGTGGAAGATTGCATGAGAGTTTCAGGGAGTCGTTCTCTCATAGAGTTGAATAGAAGTGAATGTATTCTGAAAGAACTTAGAACAACAACAGAAAAAAAAAAAAACGGTTGGATTGTATGTGGCTGGATTCCAAGAGAAGTGTTGTGTTAATACAAGGCTTAAGGCACTGAAGTGTCGGATAGCTGTGGTTGTTGATTTTAGCACAGTTATAAAATAGGATGAGCAGTTTGTGTATAAAGCTGCACGAGGCTCATAGATTAGCTCTCCCAGCTGCTAAACAAAAGGAGGAGGAGGAGATGGAGACCTCTGAGCCATGTGGTCTGAAGCTTTTGATGGGAGCCAGATGCCTCGGTGCTGTGGGGCGCTTTGTGAGGCTCATCCAGAGCACACCGCTCAGCGTACAAGTCGAGCCCCAAGCTGGCGACGCCACTGAAATGTATGGACTAAAGAACATTCCAAAAACTAACTTGAGGATGAAGTTTTTGCCTCAACTTCCAAAAAAAAAACAACAAAAAAAAAAACTGGTCTTCAGGGTCAGCTGTGCGACTTCCTCGGCACGCACTGAAAAACCGAATGTATTTTTATACAAATGCAATTGTTGATTCACAATCTTGCCAAAGTTTTCTAATTCTAATTTTTTCTAATAAAAAAAGCTTAAATGGATGTTTGTCTCCAGTGTTTCCTTCAAACCTTGACTGGTATGTAAGCTGTACACTTTGTTAGGGAAATAGTAGAGGGCTTCTTCTAGCATGTTGCGTGCCAGTGGATTGGTACATCATGTTCAGCAGCGTGAGTCAAAACTATATTACTGCCAAGGGCAGGGTTCACTGCAGAAGTGAGCTATACTCACTGGATCAAAACAATAATTAGACAGTTATGCCTGTGACAGTTCTAATATTCCCGATTTACGTAATCCAGTTTTTCTGGTTGCCTCTGTTGCTTCTTTTTTAAGAAAAAAATAAATAAAAAAAACGGGAATAAAAAGTTCCAAGTCAGGACTGAATTATTTATGACATTCAGTTCAGCAGATACATGGATCTTATCTAGAGCCCTCTTGTACTGTTTGTACTATGTTTACATGAATTTCCAACAAGTACCTCAGCTATTTTCTTTTGGCACTTGTAAACATATAACACATAGGAACAAACAAGCAGCTCAGTGAATTATACACAATGTTAGACAAAGCTGTAAACATGGATGAAGGCCAAGCTGGAGAAATTCTCTGGGGTTTATTCTCCGAACTGCCTTAAAGTGGAAGGACAGAGAGGTGTTCAGTGCAGCGCTGAGGAGAAGTGTTTCACTGAGAAGTTTGAATACTCACACAATAATTTGAAAGAACAACAATCACTTACACCTGACACAAAATCAGTGTTTGGGAATGTTTTATCCTAATTAAAAATTAAACGATTATGGGCGTCGGTTGTAGCGTAGTGTTTAAGCAGGCGGCCCCATGTGTAGAGGCTACAGTCCTCGCTGCAGTCGGCCCCGGTTCGAATCCCCGCATCGCGGACGGCCCTTCACTGCATGTCATTCCCCCTCTCTCTGCCTCCCCGTTTCCTGTCACTCTCCACTGTGCTGTCCATTAAAAAAAGCCCAAAAAAATATACTAAAAAAAAAAAAAAAAAAAAATTAAACGATAAGTCAAGTAATTGATTAATCAACCATCAACAATTTTGATAATCACTTAAACATTTAGGGTAATCATTCAGGCCAAAACACCAGAGATTCTGTGGTTCCAGCTGCTTCAATGTGAGGATTTGCCGTTTATCTCAGTTTTATAATATTGTAAACACACTACCTTTGAATTTTGAACAGTAAATCAGACAAAACTATTTCATAGACCAAGCAATTTATTTAGAGAGCACTCAATAGAAAAGCCAGAAATGCAATTAAACATTAGGTCTGGCCTTAATCAAAACATATGATGGGATTGTAACTGATCCCTGGCTTTTCTCTTGCCTCTGACCACACGCCGCTCAGAGGTCAGCGTATGTGGTAGCAGTGGCATTAACGTAGCTCTGTGCATAGAAAGACCTTATTCTGTTTAACTAACCTTTTGTACAGAAGCATATCTTGTCTTTTTGTCCCATGTTTTTACTGACTTTACTGACTCAGCAGTGGTGTGGTGTCTTAAAATCTCACAGCTCATGTGATCAAAGAAAGAAGAAATGAGAGAATTTGAGGATGATAAGGAACTAGCATATTCACATTTATCATTATCATGGTCTGCTTCAAGGACAGACACCTGAACAGGGAGGGAGGCTTGAACCTGGGTGCTCTGAAAGATGGTCTTCCCGCTCTGTGTCTCTGACCAGAAATTGTAACTCACTGAAGTCACAACTTTCAATTAAAGACTCATCAACATGTAGTAATACACAGACGGAACATGTCACAAGTGCAGAATCTCACCTTTTAAATGTTAAATATCCTCACAGATCCTCACACCGAGTAGAAACAGTGCTACGGTTATTTTTGTGAGATTCATGTTCCACAAAGAATATTGTTTAGTATACTTTTATCTATTTGATACATTTTGATTATTGCTCAACAGGAATAGGAACAAAGCTGCCGAAGATTCCAGACATGTTTACAGAAATTTTATAAAAAATAGTGGGACAGAATTGTAGTTGACTTTGTGCAGGAATAAATGACCTAATGCAAACAAACGCCACACCCTTTTACAAGCAGCAAAACATGCCTTCAAAATTTTTTAAATGCCTTTATCGTCCCATAAAACACGCCACTAAACATAACCATGGTGTTCATTTATTCTCTGAACTTAACTTTCCTTCTGACAACATTAGGCTACTCAAATATACCTTAAATGAACTGGTTAAACCCATAATTCACCACATTATTCACACCCAGTGTAAACAGAGAGAATCATGAGGGACACTTAAAGCTTCCAAAGGTCTTTTAAAGATTAACTTTAGTTGTTTTACCCCCCAGAGGTATTCTACCTTAATCTTAACAAAGTGAAATATAAGTGGTTTTAAAGTATGAAATCAAAGATTTCTGTTCCTCAGTCAATTCAAACCAAAATAGCATAAATACCCATTGACTATTTAAGGTTAAACTTAATATGAATACAGTACAGAATGATACATTGCTTTGTATTTGTCTCGGACTGAAGTGAAGGCGAACACTGAGGTGTCCGTCACCCTAAAGTCTCCGTGGCTGACCTGACTGTGAACCTGTGTGGTTTTTATGAAGAGACTCGTCCACACAGTCAGCATGATGAAAGAAGTGAACAAGATGTTTTCATGACTTTGTCTTCCACCCTGTTCCTGTAATCCTACTTCCACTTGATTTTCTGAGTTAGTCCAACTGAGTCATTTAACCTTTTAAATGTTGTGCATTTTGGGCTTCTACTGTTAAACCTGCCTGTCTGGTTTGGTATGTGAAATTATTGTGCAAATATTCTGTTTGTATATATTCATCTAAATAGGGTGGTTTAGTCTGTTTTGTTGTGTTTTTCCAGTTTACAACTTTCTTCTGTATCTGTATACCTGAGCAGTCGGGTTGTAACAGAGACCTGCATGAACACCTGCAAGGTAAATTTTATATGAACCAGAAAAGCATCCCATAGAATTCTTGTCAATGGGTCAATGAAACTGACTTCATTAAAAAACAAACACCAGGCCCACATACTGAATCTGTTCATTGTTTGTGTTAGCACCTGTTTTACTTTAATCACTTTCCCCCCCCCCTTTCCTTCTATTTTTTCTTTCTTATTATCTGCAGCTGCAATGACCAAATTTCCACATGAGGATCATTAGGTTTTGATTACATGTAACTATGTAGATATAACCTCAAAACTATGGAGGATCCAGTCTGTCAAAATGTCAAAAGGCTGCACTTACCTATTACAAGACATTTAACATTGTTCTGTGCTGCTTGGTGCACTCTTCGGAGGACTGACGTCTTATTTTGAAGGGGAAAGTCTAACCAGTAGATTCACACAGTGTAACCTGCGTACCTACAGTCTTGCCTCAGGGTGTTTCGTGGCCTAGATCAAAGGTGGACATGCGCAACAGGCCTTTTCAGCACATCTGTTTTCTTGACCTGATTAAGCAAAAGATTGTACCTGTGATTACCGGAGAGAAAAAGATTGAGATCAAGAATCAAAATGTAGAACCGTCACTCTTCTATTCTGTGCAACATGGGCAACAAGAACTTTGGAGTAGCAGAGTTTGAATTCACTGATGTGATGTGAGTACAAATTTTTGTAAAAATTGAAACATGTTTGTTGATAATCCACTCATGTTTTCCAAGAAATCTGTACATCCTGTTTGACCCCCCCCCCCCCCCATCATACAGACAAGCCACTACTTGACAAAAACTGTCTTTGACCAACAGTGATCATTTCCTCTGAAGTCTTTGTGCAGCACTAAATTAAGTTAACATAATCACATGGTCCAAATGGAGACAAAGTTTTTCCTTCTCTGAAACACTTCGGACAAGTTGTAACTATAGTGCAGTGGCAGTGCATCCCCAATCACTAATTACATTTCAGAGGAGCAGTGAATTGCAAAGTGGTTGCATGGCACAAATTGTAAACAGACAACGCAAGCGCATGTGAGTGTGTATGTATGTAACCAGTGTGTCACAAACATCTGGGAACAACTTGCTTGAGGAAACATGATTACTTAAGTAAAAGCTGGACGCGAGATAGAGAGAGAGCATGTCGTTGGTTCAGTGCAGCTTTTGGAGTGTGTGTCCTGCAAAAGTGTCCTTGAGCAAGACGCTAACCCTCTATTGCCTGAAATGTAAAAATACATTTTTATTTTACATCCAACACATCACATCACATGGGTTTTGCTTTTGTTGAAAGCTGTAAAACCATAACCTCTTCTATGAGAACAGGATTGTCGGGGTGCTGCTTGCTTGGAAAACTTGGAACCTGGCTTTAAGGATTGGTCCCATTCAGCTACAAAAGTATTAGTGAGGTCGGGCACTGATGTTGTGTGATAACACCTGGCTCATAGTCAGTGTGGCCGCTCATCTGAAAGGTGTTGCATTCGCTTAACATCGGGGCCATGTACAGGCCAGTCAACTTCTTCCACAACCAACCTCCAAAAAACCATTCTTTGTGGACCTGGCTTTGTGTAAGACGGCATTGTCACGCTGAAAGGACCTTCCCCAAACTGTTGCTATGAAGCTGTAAACTGAGAACTGCAAAACTGTATCTTCGTAAAGTCGATGTACTTTAAAGTTAGTTGTTTGGGGGAAGGATAAGTTGGTTGTAGACTAGTGTGGCATCAGGAGGATGTGTTCAACAAGGTTTCTGCCCCGAAAACAGGCAGCTGTCATGGTGAAAAACAATATGATGGCTAAGATATGCGCTCTTTGTGTGTGTGTGTTTGTGTGTGTGTGTGTGTGTGTGTGTGAGTCATTATGAGCTGCCAGAGTTGTTGTCCAGACATTGTTGACAGGCTGCTGAACACCTTGGCTGATCACGCCAACCAACAGACACACGCAGAAACACCCATGGCTTCTCACAGTCAGTTTTTTAACCCCACCCTTAATCATACTGCACCTGAGACAACATCAGCAACCAGTCCATTTGTACACATATTACTCACCTCACCTAACGGGTAGTCAGGATCAGAACTGTATTTACCTCAGCTGAAGAACATATGAAGGCTGAGGGAGTTTACGAC